ATATAAAAGCAGCTAAATGATAAATATGTGTCTCAATTTTATACTTGCAAGAGAGAAATCTAATTACTAAGAGAAGTGTACCCAAAATGTCATTTTAACCATTAATGCTTGAGAAATATTTTAGGCCTCTTCAGGCTACGAATCAAATTTGGTCGTTTTGCTCCTTAAAATGAACAGTTCGTTAAAATTTTAATATGAAGAGGGTTTTAAGATAAATCTGTAAATCTTTATATCCTGGTAACATTCAATCCTATGAATTGAATACATTTTTAAATGACCAGATTCGTCTTTATTCTGTTTTCGTTATTTTATTTTTTATTTGGTTGGGTGACGGATTTTTTTTTTTTTTCCCCCCGAGTGAACTTGACGTCCTGACACACACACACACACAGGCCGCTGTGAGGTCGCTGGCCCCTGGGCCCTGGCTGTGAGGGGTGTCCCTGTCAGCCCTGTAATTGATAATGACTGGCACATCGGTCATCTGTCAGCATTGCTTTCAAGGGAACGTTTAAGCAGCGCCGCGGGAGCCCGATCCACTCCAGCGCTCCCCGTCATAAATAATGAAGCGGCTTCTGTGTCTGTTGGGAGAACAGCCTAAAGCAGGGAAAACCCAGAGCGACAAAACGCCCATTTAGGCCCAATTTGTAGACAATTCATTGCCTAAACAGTTGTCCAACCTGCAGCTGTCCACAGCTTTTTAATTGTCCAAACGGGCCTGGCTCTGTTTTCTCATCTGCCTACCTTTATCGCCGAGGATGCCGTCGATGCTGTGTTTGGTTTTCTTTTCTCCGTCTTCGTCCTTTTTGTCACACTCGTCCTCATCGTCCTTTTTTCCAAATCGAGCTCGGAGGACACGGCTGATCGAACTCACTGCGAACACAGGCAGCTTCAGTAGGACAATAATAATAGGCCTAATAATAATGATAGTAATAATTAGGCTATTATTATTATTATAATTATTATAATTATAATTATAGTTATTATTATTATTATTATTATTATTATAACGACCAACCTTGGCCTGAATTTTCAACTCTGCTTTTCTATTCATTTGAATGGGAAAATAGCGGAGAATGAAAGATGAAATGCGGCTTACCAGAGGAGGCCTCACCTGAAGGGACTGTGCTTCTGTCACACACCCCGTCCTTCAGCAACTTATCCCGGATCTCCCAGCTGAACATGCCGGGGTTGTCCCGCTTGTACTCCTCTATCCGCTTCTCCACGTCCGGTGTGGCTACCTGCTGCAGGTGAGACAGCATGGCCGAGAAAGAAACAAGTAACACGGTGTGTAATGAGTACAGGCTGCTGAAATATTTAAGGCCGCAAACGTGTAAAAAATTTAAATAAAAAGCTGCAGATAATTTGCAAGAATAATCAAGCAGCATTCAATATAAGTAACATTTCTTATTTCTTATGTTATTTGCCTATTATTATTATTACTGTCGTTATTATTATTATTATTATTATTATTATTAATACTTGGCCTATCATTCTCACCCTGGGCTTGCTGCCTCCTATCGCTCCGGGTCGGATGGAGCCGGTCTCCTGATAGCGACAGAGGATCTTGGAGACGCAGCCGTGAGAGACCCGCAGCTGTCGGGAGATGACGCAGGGCCGGATCCCGTGGTGAGCCATCTCAACTATTTTGTGTCTGATGTGGTTGGGGAGCGGCCGGCCGTTGATGAAGACCCCTCCGAGCTGATTGACCCGTCCCTGGCCCAGAGGAGTGGACACTGTGGGCGACACAAGGTCACACTCAGCATGGAGCTTTTCATCATCAGAGACAGTTATAGGAAACAGTCATATTTAAAATGCTGTGTTTGCTGTGCATGTGTAGCTACATATATTCATATTGGCCTACTTTTTTATTGACTCACTGGTAAAACTAATAAATTGTAGACACAAATGAAAATGTTGGTTAACAGATTGCCATTAACGAATCACAATGGCAGTGAAGAGGAGATGAAGAGCTCCTTTTGTCCGTCTTTATTATTCACCATCACGCTTTACAACTGTTGGTGCAATCTGCTTCTCCTTGTTGATTTTTATTTGATTTGATTTCCAGGCGCAGGGCACTTGAAGAAATCCCACGTTTGGTTGTAGATCTCTGTTTTAGGATTTAGACTCATTTCAAATTTGTTGACTAAATGCTCAGTGGATGGTTCATAAATTAAGTGCAGCCTAGGATCTGTAATAGCCTATTTAATCTCCCTTAAATAACAGGCCTGTTTTAGTTATTTTTCAGAAGGATAATAAAGGCATTTTCAATGTGTGAAAAAAAATAATGCGAGTCCTTCATGGGAAAAAAAAATCCAGTGAGAGTAGCCTTAGTTTAGTCAGGGTCTTGGCTCTTGTCAAGCTACAGTGTGTTCTGCTTGGCATATTTAAATTCTCAAATTGAGCTCCTAAGTTTTTAGAGTCCACACAGAATCAGAATCTCTTCTGTGTGAGTGTAAAAGGTCCATCAGGCTCCATCGTGTTCCCCAGCTGCTCCTCCGCTTATGCCTACCTTCCAGAGGGAATCCAGTGCGGGGATAGTTCTGTCCGGGAGCCGGGCGCATCATCCGCGGTACTGTTCCTGGTAAAGACGACATTGTACCATTAAAAAGAAGGTGCAAACGAAAACAAAAACAAAAAGGGTTTATCTCAGAAATCCAGTTCAAGTGTAGACTTGTTGGTCACAAGTGTTTCGAAGGTGGGAATGTCAGATGGATCCAGTGTGTGGCGGAAAAGAAAAAAGAGATTAAGTAGGTTATCAGTATGAAAGCCCTCAAAGCAGGATAAGGATATTCGGCGGCAAAGTGCAGCGCTGTGTGGAGCGGCAGGGAGTCCTTACAGTGTTAATTTGCCCACAATATACAAGTGCTGTGTCTCTGACATGAGCTTATTTAAGCGGTGTGAAGGCTGGACTACATTTACTGTCTCCCGGACAAGTCTGGACCAGGCGGGCTCCAGAGAGGGGGACGGGTCGTGAGCACCGATAGGTTCTTGGAGCTTTCTGTTTTTCCACAGAGAAAAGCTCCAACAAGTTTCAGCAGCCAATGAGAACGAAGGGATAAACATGTCCACACACACACACACACACCGACCGCACCAACACACCACAGGCCTACCAAATACTCTAACACGCACACATTACCCTACACTGGTGAAGACAAAAATTGTCATCCAGGCCTATACTATAATGCAACCCAGTGCAATGCCAGCTACAGGCTATTGATCACTGTTTGTTAAGACTGTGGCAATGCTATGTGATGTCTGTGGTTAATTGTATTGTCTGCCCTTCAGCTGGAGACAAACAAAAACACCTGACAATAATACAATGCAATTTAAAGGGTATCTTTGGTATTTTTCAACGTGGACCCAATTTTCCCTTGGAATTGTGTTCAAGTGACTAACAGTAACAAATTGGTCCATTACTGAGCAAGACTGCTGCAGCTGACATTAGTGAAACAGGCTGCAATGTAACCACCTGGGGCAAAGCATTGTCAATGTATGTCCACCAAAAGTGTTTTTGCCACTGACAGGCTCAGATTATTTTTCTAAGTGTCTGACAACATCACGCAACACAAGGATCCCTTCAGCAAGACACCTTTTTGTTAAAGAGTAAGATCTTTTTTGTCGAACCAGAAACAGCCCCAAAAGTGCCATCATCAGATCCACCAGGCTCCATTTAAGTTACAGTGACTTTAACAATGTTAAACACACTTTATTAGAAGTCCACAAAAACAAGATAAAACTAAAAAACAAAACAAACAAAAAAAAAACAACAACAAAAAAACACCTTGGTTCATATTTCCACTGTTCCAACAATCACCAACTATGGTTTGCTTAAAATAAACCCTTAAATCACCCAGTTAGATATGCTGGTTCTGTACATGCTAAAATATTTATTTAAATGGAGTTTGGTGATGGTGATTTTGGGGCTGTTTCTGGTTAACAAAAATGATCTTATTCTTTTACATTAAGATCTATCTCTGTAAGGATCCTTTTCATAATGTTGACACTTATAATAATAACCTCAGTGACAAAAACAAGCACTTTTAGTGGATGTTTGCGGGTGCACAAATGCCTTAAGTGGTTATATTGCAGCCTGTTTCACTGCTTCCACCCGAGTTCTCTCAATACTGGACCGGTTTCAAAAGTTTATGTTCCCATTCGTCCATCAGAAACAAACATGTGGGAAAACAGGGTTAAGGTTGAATAATACCAAAGTTACCTTTTTATAAGAAACTCTTATGCAGTGCAATTTAATATTAAAGGTCCCATACTGTGAAAAGTCAGATTTCTGTCTTTTTTTTTTTTTTTAAAGCAGGTATAGGTGCTATAAATACTGTGAACATATCAAAACGCTCAGCCCACAGAGAAAAGCACAGTTTATATTCACAAACTGTGCTTTTAAACAAGCAGTCATGATTTTTCAGAATTTGTGATGTCACAAGTATATTATACTTGAAACGTAAATATTCTAAATGGGTCCTCTTGTATTTCTTGTTAGAATGTTTTGCAGTGTATGCGAATGACGTCAGCTGACAGAAAGTAAACATGGACCTAAGCTGTTGCCTAATAATGTATTCCAGTGAAACCTTCTATGAAGATAGAAAAACAGAGCTTTTCAGTCAGCGGGTGATTGCAGGTATATTCAGGCCAACAGTATGAAAAAAGAAATGTGGTTTTTGAACGTGAAAGCATGTAAATAGTAGAAACTGTGTGTGAGCATAATTTGAAACTTTTAATACCCCCATTTTTACAGTTTTACTTTGATTGACTTACTAAATTCTCTGTAACAGCAAACTATTACTGTCCATCTGTCAAAATCCAAATGAAGAAGAGCTGACAAAAAAGGACCACGCTCACAACAAATAAGCTTTATTAGAAGGACTTCGGCAGACATATATTTCCCAGGGTTTTACATTTCAGGCTTTCAGCAGGCTGTAATATTCCTTTGATTGGTGGACTTAGCAGAAGAAAATAATCCATAGGCTTTGTGTAAAGTGTAATATAGCCTAATATAGACATTGAATTACACTGCAAGTTATTTTCAAGAACTGTTATATTGTAAAAATCATGAAGGTAATATTGTAGTTTTACTGTGAGATTACAGTGAAATACAGTAATTCTATGGGAGCATACTGCTAAATCACAGTTATCAGATGTACATAAACTGTGAAATTACAGTTAAAAATAGTAATTTTACAAGAGCATGCTGCTAAATCACAGTAATATGCAGGTATAACTACTGTGAGATCACAGTATACAGATGTCATTTCACAACAATCTACTGTAAAAAAAAACAATACAGTAAATCACTGTGAAAGTAACGGAACTGGTAGTCAGTAATTTGCTATAAATGTACAGTCAAATATTTAACAGTGTACACAGACATTTAAGGAGCAAAATAAAAATCAATTAAAGTAAATGAGCAAAAGCAAAATACAATAGGAATTAATATAACATGTCAGTTACATAGTAAGTAATAATTCAATTTTGAGTATGGAGCTATGAAATATGGAGCTATATAGGACAAAATGTGAATATGGACATTGTAAAGGAACAAAAATAGAGAGGTAGAGTAAAAATGTAGGTTAGAGAAAAGATTGGAAGTTTAAATATATGCCAGTAATATTGCAATAATTAATGTAACGATAGTTTATACAGTGTAATATAGCACAATGCACATATTTGTATATTTTTAGACACTTACAGACTCAGTACAGCGAAGGTATATAGTTTATCTTAAAGTACTAGTGTTAACGTAGTAGTATAATATACATTTGTATTTCTATTTTATTGAATTTTATTATTTTATGTTCATAAACTTCTATTTTATACTCCTAATACCTCTTATAATTCTCTATTCTTTACATTGCAGCGACTGTAACAGATCACAATTTCCACTTGGGGATAAACAAAGTATTTCTGATTTCTAAAACAGTGACTGACATTATTCAGGGAATGTAGGTACTATAGGATCCCCTTGTTGGGGCCAATAAAGGCATGAGAGCATACACTACACAGTTCTGCAAAAACTACTGCCACCACCACCTCTGCATGCTTTTCAAGAAATAAATCAGACATTACAATACAGAGACTGTATTGTAATGTCTGATTTGGTTTGTTGATATATCAATTGNTGTGTGTGTGTGTGTGTGTGTATTAGAGATGTAGACACATAACTGCATTTTGGTTTAAGAACCAAAAAAATCTTGTGGCTTCACTGTGCCCCACTTCCCCGTCCAATTCTACACAGTTTAACACTGCATTAGGCTACAATGAAATGCAGAGAAGAACAAAATAGCCTATTAGAAAGTATATTATGATAGTGGTTCAAGTAATAGAATGTTTCTCTGAGACGTTTGTCCAGTGGTCCATTGTCCACTGACAAAGTTGTTATTTAAATGTTTTTGAAAGTGTTACATCAAATTTTAAATGATACAGTGAATAGTTCATCGTCCACCGAGTACATACAATGCAGACCACTAAACAGACCAGTTACATGACATCCCAAACATTCTGAGAATACTCTCAGAAAGCTCCTAACTTAACCTAAAAACTTTTAGCATGGAGTCCAAGCTGAGGAGTGATTTGGGAAAGTTACAAGAGCAACTCTAAGCAAGGAAGAGACAGAAACTCTTACCTCAGTGAGAAGGTGTGGTTGACCCTGTTGCTAGGTATGATATGTTTGGTTGTCACAGACATGCCCTTCTGTGAACCTGCAAGGTGTGGACACCCAGTGGAAATGGAATGAACTGCATCATATGAGACTGCAGAAGTCTTGTCATTATTAGTGTGATCAGAATCAGAATTAGAATCGGAAATAGTTAATTAAATTAAATTGTGATTCATTACAGTCACTCCGATGTAAAGAATAGAGAATTATAATAAGTAGGAGTATGAAATAGTTTGTAAATATACAGTAATAAAATAAAATAAAATGAAATAAAAATGTGCATTGTTGGGATTCACAGGACCACAATTGATTGGAACAAAAGCAGCACGCCTCAAACCAACTCTTTCCTCCATCCATTCAAGGATTGGTAATGAAACAACTAGGCATAGCTTTATCACATCAGGCTAAGCAAGACTGTTTAACTTGTTGTACGTGATTTAATGCTGTTTACTGAATTGTTGTTGTGATAGACTGCAGTTAGGTCATTGATTAGTTGGCTTCACCAAAGCTAAGTGATGTTAGTTTGCTAATGCTGTTCACAGACGTCTTGCATTCAACTAAACATCCTCTACACTTTGCAACACATATCACACATATCACATTCACATAGACTCATTTACAAATTTGCTTTCAACAGAGCTACAGCCAAAGAGGAGACTCAAAGTTTGCACTTCTTTTCCTTTGTCTTTGTCCTGACCACACGGTCAGACATATACCTCCCCCGATCTGAGGCCAGCTTTGATTCGGCCATCTTGTAGTTCTCTGTTGTCAGTCATTTTGTTTTGTAGGCTCCTAGGAGGCTCCCAGGAGGGCACTTTAGCATGCGTTTTGGCTCTCAACAGGGCACTTTAGCGTGTGTTTTGGCTCCCAGGAGGGCACTTTAGCACGCAGGGAGACAAAGACTGATAGCGGAATCCCCTTTGACGCAGCAGGTCAGGCGTTGGTCTGCCCAATCGGAGGCTCTGCTTCAGGACGCACTGAGCGATGTGGATTGGATATGTTCAAAGACAGCTTCACTGATGTCAGTGAGTACGCGGATGTGGTATATACACCAAGCTTGTATATAGTTTAATTTGGCACAGTGGTAGAGGGTCATGGGAGGATGCGAATGAAGCAATATTACATCAATTGGCCAAAGGGGGGCGCTATAGCAACCCATTGCAAACTTTGAATGGGCATATCTCATGCCCCGTATGTCGTAGAGATATGAAACTTTGCACAGAGATGCCTCTCCTCATGAGGAACACATTTGCCTCAAGAACCCATAACTTCCGCTTATATAGATTTTCCACCATTTTGAATTGTTTGAAAAACATTTAAAATGGATCTCTTCCTAGGAAGTTTGAGCGATCTGCATGAAACTTGAGGAACATAATCTAGGGACCAATATCTAAAGTTCCCTCTTGGCAAAAGTTGGAAAACTTACTAAAACTGAGCTTCTATAAGGCAATGAATATTGCGGAGGGCGTGGCTCATCACATAAAGGTGTATAACATCTCAAGGGTTTCACCCATCACCACGCAACTTTGTAGGCATATGACCACACATAATCTGAGGGGACCCCTC